TAACTGTAATTTTGCTACTGTTATGAATCGGGCAACCCCTGCGAAAGAGTTGTTCATTCCTCAAAGGGTTCGCAACCCACAAGTCGAGAACCACTGATTTAGGGTTTCTAACAGTGTATTTACCTTCACCTCATCTTTCTCTATTGGACTAATGCTAGAGTAGACTGAAGGGCTAAGGGGACAAAACAAAGAATTAAACAAAGGCAACTTTCCTCTAATTCCAGAAAAGTTGAAAGGTTTTTACTAACAATTGAATGTGTTCTTTAAAATTAACATATATTTTGTTTGTTTATTCTGAGTCCTGCGTGATAAGGAGTGGCAGGAATTAAAGTTTGGATTCTGAGATCCATTCTTTTTTTCTTTTCTTTTCTTATCTCTTTACTTTTAAAAAAAGATTTATTGACTTACAATTCACATATCAGACCATCAATTCAATTGTTTAGATATATTTAAAAGAGCTGTGCAATCAACACCACAATGAATTTTAGAATGTTCTTCATTCTTTTGTGTGTGCGTGTTTGTTTTTCATTCTTGTACCCATCATTATTACCTTCCCATACCTCCCAACTTACCCTATAACAACCGAAAGGAAGTATTAATCTAATTATTGTCTCTATGAATGATCTACCTGGATTTCATATATATAAAGAAACTCATACAAATAACCAACAACAATAAAAAACATTAAAAACCCTCAATATAAAAATAATATAAACTAAAATTAAAAATTAGTAAAGATGGAAAGTAGTAATATTTTGAATTTTAACGTTCTGCAGCAAATCACTTTCTAGCCCACTCTGTCTGAAGGCAAGACTACTCACGTTCCTAGTCAATGGTCTGAGGGAGTTCAATACAGGCTTAATCTGCCTGAAGAATCTGCAAATGGATTTTAGGCTTGCACTGTCATCCATAGCTTTCTGAAAAGCAGGTGTTCAGAATTTAAGCTCTAATATAATCCCCTTCTCTGATCATAGATGTTATTATTTACAATCTTGAGTCACACAAGCTGATGTACTCTTTTCATGTGGACTTAGCTGACACCACACTTAGGTGGCTCTTTGTTTTAAGACAAGTCTTTAAGATCTGATATTATTTTTCCGATAGTTGGGTACCACCTGATGTCCATTTTTATTACTCCCCCTCTGAGCAAAAACAGCTGTGGAGATTTAGGAAGAGAGAATGAGAAAGAGAAAAACAGGCACATTGTTAAGATGTATTTCTCCCGCTACATCAGGTAGGGTAATCTAGTAAAGTCAAGTAAACAGTTTTCATAAGATAAGAAATAGCTAAATAAAACAAATGAACTACCAAATTTTTCATAGGAGAAACTGAAGTAAAGTATGTGGCTTACTCAGCAAAATAAATAAAATTAAAAACAAAATTGTAAAATTGAACCCAAGGACATCCAGAGAATCACTATGAAATGGGATCACAAGTGAACATCCACAAAACACTGACAAACTTATATTAAAATTAGTCTGATAATGCTATCAAGTAATATAAAACCAAATGCATTATGATAGAAAATAAAACAATTTGGTACCTACTTGTAACAAAGAATTTTTTTGTGAAGGTACAGCTATCAAAGGCAGCAATTTTCTCCTGCAAGACTACAACAAGTATCCTAAAATTAAGAGAAGGGAAGAGATACCAAAACAAAAAACATGTAAGAATATGAAATTTCATAAACTTATTTATTAATTTACGTTATTTCAAAGAAAACAATGAACTAATAATGCAATTATAAAATTGGGCTAGAAATAAAGATTTAAAAAATTAACCATAAGGCCTGGTTTGAGGCAAAATTAAGATGATTACAAGTAAGAAAGTTATCAAAATAAAACAATTTCACCATAAAAATTATTATTTTTTTTTTTCCGAATGCAGTCCCCCACTACCACAAATTAAGCAGTTGAGTTTCCCACATTGGGGAAATCGCAGGGGTCTGCACATCTGGAGTGCAATGGATAAGCCTCGCCCTGGGAAAACCACCTTCGTGATTATGGTATCTCTCCTGCCATAATTTTATTTTCATTATGAAACTCAATAGTCATGGAATTAAATATAAAATGGATTCATGTACTTGCCACTTAAAATGACTGTTGGACTTTCCAATGTAATTGGGGGGAGATATATTAAGACAACTGCTATTTAGTATAAATGAACTATATAGAACTTATTCAATGTATTTGATCAAATTCAGTACAAATTAAATTTTCCTTGGAAATACTTTAAGAAGCCAATTGCTAAAATACATTTTAAGAAATACCTGAACAAACACTCATACACAAAAGGATTTCCATAAGAAAAGCTGCATTTATGATAATGTATGGATAATCCAAGCAGCCCTGGTGGAACATTAGTGAAATTTTCAGCAGCTAGCCAAAAGGTCATCAGTTCAAACCCACCAGCTGTCCTACAGATGTAAGAGTTTGCTTCCACTAAGATGACTGCCTGGAAACCCTAAGGGTACTTTAACTCTGTCCTCTAGGGCCGCAGAATCAGAATCAACTCATGACAACAAGTTTGACAGTTACAGACTTAAAAAAAAAGGACACATCTATCTGCCATTTATTCAGGGCTTCCAATGAGTTTAAACCAGTTTTGTCATGGCCAGAAAAATAAGTACAGACCTATGTTTTCCATTTAAATTGTTAGAATAATCGGATTGGAAAAAATTACAAGCTGAAGCCCTGGAATGGGAGTCCTCACAGAGCCTGGTGTATGAGACTAACTTATTGGCAGTACTGTGGCGAGCCACACACATTCAGGACAGTGCAGTGAACCATCACCTTTGAAAAGGGCACTGCCATATTTGCCCACAGTGCTTTCATCTTTGTAGCCATCTTGTAACTCTGGTCAACAGTTGGAAGCTCTGAAACAATTGAACCAACCCCCACATCACAAACACCTTTACTTGCTGCACTGCACTGCACACACATGCAGCTTTAAAAAAATCACTGAAATCCGTATATACTCAAGTATAAGCCAACCCAAATATCAGCCGAGGCACATAATTTTACCACAAAAACTGCATTAAAAATGTGCTGAAAAACTCAGCTTATACACGAGTATGTACGGTAGCACCAAGGTTTTTGCTGTTGTGTTTTTCACACTAAAGTAAGGTGTCCTCAGAACCATATGGACTTGTTCTGATTTACACACAAAAAAATTCTACTTAAAAATCAGAATGTATCTCATTCTTATCCCGGAGATTGCTTGTAATGATTCAAGGATAACATTGACAAAGTCCTGAGGTCACACTTCAGTTTTCAGTTCATACAGCCTTTCATTTTAAATATGTTTACTTCCAATTGGTAGGAAGAGAAAAGAAAGGGGGTTAAAATTCACATAGAAAGACTTTATAATAACAAATAAGACCTCAACAAAAATAAGATTACGTAGAACTATAAATTATTTTCTTTCACAAAACCATGCAAATATTTTTAACTGATAAGAAATGGCATCTCCTTTTTGTTGTTACAGGTTTTATTTTGAGTATGCATGTGTTTATATATCGTCAATGTAACAAAAATGTTACATTGTACTTTCCTCCTTTGGGGAATGTATTCCACATGATGGCTCAAAGGACTTCATTAGGAATTACACGATTTACGGAGCGGCCCTTTCTCTGCCATCGTGTCATGCTCTGTCTGTACTCCAGTATACATTCTTGTATCAGAAGCCTGTGGTGGTGTCGCTGCTGGGTGCCACTGAGTCATTTCCAAGTTATAGCAGCCCCATGTACAACAAAACACTGTCCTACACTATGCTCACAATTGTTCAGGCATATAAAGGCACGCAAATCAACTTTTCCAATCCACTTCATGAAATATCGCTTTACAAATTTAATCAACACTTTACATTTATTTCATATATTCGCTTTTTAATGAGAAGGATGATTTATATCTGCATCAATAACCTTGAACGGCCCTCTATCAACCAGGGACTTTGTTTTCTCGAATGGTAAACAAATTGACTGACAGAGGTTACTCCTTCTGATCTAAGCTTATGTACTAACATAAACTAAGTTTTCTATATTACTAGAGGTGATATTGAAATTCAATCTATTTGAAATTTTACAGCTCTTTTAATGAATAAATTTAAGAAGGGAAAATCAACATAGTCTTTAAACATTATGAAGTGTAAATTAATAAAGATGATCTAAAAGCATTTTTTACATTCCAGAAACTTGCTTTTAGAACATTCGGATGATACTTCATAGGAAAATTAGCCCTCCACGTAATGAGGAGAACTCTGTATTTTATACATGTGTTATCATATGAAGTAACAGACAAAAAAGCTACTTACCGCTTGTTACAGTGGAGGTCATAGATTGGTGTTTTAAATTGTATGGACTTGACCATCTCCCCAGTGCGAAGTGAATACAGATCCACACAGCAGTAAGGAGGGCTTGTGCTAAAAGAAGATAAAAGCTAATATTAAAAATAAAAATAAATAAAAAGAGTAAGGCAGAGGCATATTCCTTATTGAATACATTATTAAAACCCATTATAAAAATAATTTTGGCAAATTGACTTCAACCTTCCAAAGAAAGATAATAATATATAAAATCCAGAAATTAAAAGCTAGGGAAGAAAAATCACTACCATCCAACAAATTACCATTATATATGGGGCAGAGAAAGAGCTTTGATTTTGTCAGTAAATACATAATAGTGAATTAGATGGTAAATCACCAAAAGAGAAGACACATCCCTTTGCACTAATTTGTTTGAGAAATATGAGAAAAAAAAGCTTAAAAGTTATTTGGGACATTGTAAAGAGGATTTTACATATAACTGAAATGAATTAACATGTATGTACATGAAGTAAGAAGGGGGGGAAATTATCACAAATAGAATTTCCCAAAGTTTATGGACAGAAAGACAAGGTTTTTATCCCAAAAGCTCAACAAACCACATCCAGGGTATTACACCCCACCCAAAAGTCACCAAGTCACAGGAGGCTCACACTTTGCAGAGATAAAGAAGTATTTGTGAGAACAATTTGTGGGAAGAAAGAAAGGGTCACCAACAAAAGAGCACTAGGAAGATTAAATGCTGATTTCTCGGCAGAAAAGGAAATGGTATGCTGTTTTTTTTTAAACCTGAAAGGAATTGTCAACCAACTATATTTCCAAGAAAACTCTCTTTCAAATACACAATAGTGAAGCCAGGACATTCCTAGATAAATAGAATTAAGGGAATTTGTAAAAACTAGGCCCAAACTTTTTTCAATTGCCCCAGATGCAATTTCAATTGTCCAAGATGTGAAACTTGGACAACGAACGAGGAAGACTGAAGAAGAATCAACGCATCTGAATTCTGGTGCTGGCGAAGAGTGTTCAAAGTACTGTGGGCTGCCAACAGAACAAACAGATCTGTCTTGGAAAACGTAAAGCCGGAATGCTCCTTAGTGAAATGACGGCAAGACTTTGTCTCATAGATGTTGGATATGTTGTCAGGAGAGGCAGCAGAAAGAAGACCTTCAAGGAGATGGCTGCAATAATGAGCTCAAAACCAAGAACAATTATGAGGACGGCGCAGGAGCAGGCAGTGCTTCCCTCTGTTATAATGTAAGGTGCCTAATGAGTCATCTACTAACCAAAAAAGACCAAACTCACAAGTAATATTAAAAGGAGTCCTTCAGAAGAACAACCTCTAATTAAGACACAAGACAGCAAACCAGAATACCAAGCCAGATAAATAATTTTCAAATATAAAACAAAGCTGTAATAATGAAAACAGGGAACCAGAGAGGTCAATCTGAAAATGAGTGTTCTGGATAGTGTGTGGGGAAAACTGTGGAACAGAACTTAAAATTGCAAGAGAACTGGCTTACTAGCTAGAGACAGGTGGGATCCCCAAGATTATGGCCCTGGGCCTTCACCTCCGTGTTATTATAATCAACCAGTTAAGGTCAAAAGAGCAGCACTTTAACCAAGGACAAAGGGTTGAGGAAGAAAGAGGCATGAAAACAGGAAACAGGAAGGAAATGGGATAAGCAAAGGTACACTGTGGAAATTGCAATAGATGAATTCACCAGACTAGTAGGTAATTTTGAATGAAAACCTGTAACCTGCTCTGCAAACCTTCACCTAGTTCACAATAAAAAGTTTTTGCTTTTTCATTGGCTTACAAGTGTCCATCTAAGATACAGACCATAGCTCTTCACTGCCATTGAGTCAATTCCAACTCATAGTGACTCTGCAGCGTAGGGTTTCTGAGGCTGTAACTTGTTATGGTGGTGGGAAGCCTGGTTTCTATTAATCTGGGGGGAGGGGGGAAGGTACGAGGAAAATAAAGAATAAATAAGAAATTACAAGACTAAGAGTGCAAACAAATCATGCATAGGCTCATCTAGCCTGAGATCTGAAAATGGTTCCAGATTTTACTATTGAACAATCTAATAAGAGAAGGCCCCAGAAAAAAAGTAGGATGATTCAGCCTGGGAAAACCTTCTCTGACAGTTCACCCTGTCGGACAGGGTCACTACAATTTTTAATTAACTCAAAAGCACATGCCAATAAGAGATACTACTAAATCCACTAAATAGCTAAAATGAAAAAAAGGTGGCCAATAAGAAGCAATGACAAGAAAGTATAGTATAAGCCGACCCGAATATCAGCTGAGGCACCTAATTTAACCACAAAAACTGCATTAAAAAATGTGCTGAAAAACTCTGCTTATAAATGAGTATGTACAGTAAATGGGAATGCCAAAGTATCTCTTAAAGCTGGTTTTGGAATTTCTTAAAAATCTGAACATATGGCCAAGGGAATTCATAAGCTCACTGAAATATGGAAGGGTACACACACAGGTGAACTGGAAATCAACAAATGGGATTTAATAAGAATAAAACACCTGTGCACCTTGAAAGACTTCACCAAGAGGGTAACAAGGCAACCCACAGACTGGGAGAGGATTTTCAGTAATGACACAACAGAAAAAGGACTTATTACTAAAATCTACAACACCGTCATGGCCTGCAAAAAGGGGGAAACAATTAACCCCCTAAGGAAGGGGGCAAAAGAACTGAAAAGAATTTTCACTCGGGAGGAGACCTCATGGCCAACAAACACATGAGAAAGTGTTCCCGTTCATTAGCTATAAGAGAAATGCAAATTAAAACAACCATGAGATACCATCTAACACCCCTGAGGTTAGCCCAAATGGGAAAATCAGAAAGCAACAAATATTGGAGGGGATGTCATGAAATAGGAACCCTCCTCCACTGCTGGTGGTCATGTAAATATGAACAGCCAATGTGAATAGCGATCTGGTGATACTTAAAGAAAATGGAAATTGATCTACCTTATGACCCAGCTATCCCTCCTCTGGGCATATACCCAGAGGAGGTAAGAAATAAAACATGACCAGTCAACTGCACTCCAATGTTTATTGCGGTGCAATTCACAATCGCAAAGAGTTGGAAACAACCTAAATTTCCATCGATAGACAGTGGATTAGTACTCTCTGGCACATACACACAATGGAGTACTGTGCAGCACTAAAAAGCACAGACGATCACATGAAACACATCGTTTCATGGGAAGGTAATTATGTTAAGCGAGGTAAGCCAATTGGATGGAATTATGTTAAGCAAGGTAAACTAATCTCAAACAGAGAAGTATAACATAAGTCCCCTGAGGTAAGTACAATCAGCACAGCAGGACTAGAAGAAAAGACACTGATATCACAATATATGGGTGGAAGCACAGGCAGTGGGGGGTGGGGGGACAGCTGTCAGACCAAACCCAGGGAGGTGCATGTGAATTCAACATAAAGAAGGGAAAGGGAAAAGGAAGTGGGAGAATAGGGTGTGGAGACACTGAGATGATGACATGGGGGGGGGGGGATCAGGGCACCAACCCACCCATGGGGAGAGTATTGGTTGTGTCTACACAGAACTGGAGGGTGCATACAGACCTCACCACAGCGTGCCAATCCAGGAGGGCAACGTAACACATGGAGGAATGCATTTCCCACCCTGGAAGTGTGTTCCGCAGAGAATGACACTAGACCTTCTGGTGGGGGAAAGGAACCAGCCTACCATACCCAGACGGAAGCCAAACAAGAAGGAAAAGAGGGGACAGTCGGCCTAGACTCCATATAGGCACACCAAGCCCAGAGGATGAGGTCCCTGCATGGAGCTGCTAAGGTACAGAGAGGACTGTAGGGCTACCAGCAACTCAAGACATGCTGTCCCCTAACTAGAGCATACAGACACAGGGGACAATAATGGGGACACATGGGGTGGGGAGAGTGCGGGAATGGAGCATAACAGATCAGCAACTGGAGTACAGCCGAGCCACAGAGCCCCTGAGGAGCTCCAAGAATGGACTTTGGGTGAAGAGGGGCAGCCCCCAGATCTCCCTCAAGACCAGAAGGTAGGGTCTCATGGGGACCAGCAAACAGACCTGGACTATGTGGGGTGTTTTTATCTTTCTTTCTTTCTTTTTCTTCTTTTCTCTCATCTTTTTCTCTTTTCTTTCTTCAACCATATGTTTTCTTATTGTTCAGACTAGGACATGGGAGGGAAGCTGGGGAAGAAGGCAATGGGGCCAATGGCCCTGGAAGGTAGAGGGGGAAGAAGGAGGTGGGGAGAAGGGTGTGGTGAGCGGACAGGATCATGGACAGGGGAACAACTAGGGAAGCAGAACCAACATCTATGAGAGGGTAGAGAACCTGTGAGTAGTAGAGCAACACCAGGCTAGTGGAGAGGAAGCACTAAGAGGTGGAAGCAGAGGGAAAGTGATGGCGGGGCAGGAGGAGGCAAAAGGAAACAGAGGCAAGCTCTAAGAAGCAAAGTCATAGAGAGATTAACAGGTGTGTATTTATGCAAATATATTAATCTATAACAATAGTGGTATTGGCCTATGAACATATACTTATAAGGCAATACACTGAAGTTGTAGAAGGACCTTGGACCTCGGTTCATACCTTTCTTCAATACAAGAATACTTTGTTCTAACAAATTGGCATTCTGTGATGCTCACCTCCCACACCACCCACCACCCCCACTACACAATCACTGAAGACAAAGATGGGTGCATAAGCAGAAGTGGTAAAGACAGATGGTACCCGGCTATTAAAAGATATAGTGTCTGGGGTCTCCAAGGCTTGAAGTTAAACAAGTGGCCATCCAACAGTGAAGCAACAAGCCCATGTGGAAGAAGCACACCAGCCAGTGCAATCATGAGGTGTCATCGAGACCAGGCAAGGATGATCAGAAGACTTATAACAAACGGTAAACAAACAAACAAAAATGCACTGGTGAGAATGGAGGGAGGTTGGAGTGGAGACCCAAAGCCCATCTTTGGACAATGGAACATCCCCCACAGAGGGGTTTCAGGGTGGGGATGAGTCAATCAGGGTGCATTAGAGCACCAATGGGTCATGCAATATACCTCTGATC